TTCTTAATTAGGCATCCTCTTATTTCAATAATAAAACTCAATTACTGATATTTAGTAATACTTTTTCAGATTCAATTAATGTATCTTCAACGATATTTTTTCTGTTATAGAATACTCAAAAATTGTATTGTATGCCGCGGACGTAAAGCTTTTCAAACCATATATTATACTTCAACTGATGAAAGGTGTTTGTTACAAAAATTCTTAAGCAATTTGGTTACTTGATCTAAAGAAATTATATGCAACTGACTTTTACAAAAAGTAAGAGCATCCAAATTTATATGTGATAAAAAACTATAGTATAGTATAGCCTAGACTCTACAACAAGAGTGACCAAAAAATTTAACTCTGGGCATACAACATCGTTATAAATAACAAGTAAGGAAGGCCTAAGTTAGGTTGTAACCGAATATTTTATACTCTCGCAATTTGCAAAGATCAAAGCCAGGAAGACATCTTATAAATTTACTGATACTCGTATACACGCCGAAGTTTTTTTTCACTTTCTACACGGTTTTACTAATTTTTAGCATCAAGACATATTATTACCAAAAAAAGCACACTTTGATGTTCACTAAGATGCATAAATAGCATACCCAAAAATTGATCTGAAAGTTTAAAAATCTTTATAAGAGTTATATGGGGGATTTTAAAAATTCATCAATAGATCCTTAGGTGTCTAAGTTATAATCCGATTTCAACCATGTTTAGACGTGAGATTAAAGAATCAGATGGAATTGAAAGTTATGTTATATGGAAAGCAGTCATAGTTATATTTCGATTTTTCCTCTTCTACACTGGAATATAAAGATAAAAAACATTATTTTATGTGCCAAATTATGTTGAAATGGGTTGAATTGTATATAGGTATAGGACTTCAGTCAAAAGAGGGCGATGCCACGACCATTCTCCAATTTTGACACTGATCATTTTGAAGCCTTTGAGCAACATCTTTGTTAAGGAATTTAATGTGTCTGACGTATTTACTTAACGAGTTATTTTCAACATAACCGTTATATGCGGAGTGAAGTTTGTTTTTATTCAATTTCGCCCATTTTCACAGGAAGTATTCTTCCTTAGCATGTTTGCCTCATATACAGGGGCTCACAACTTATGCCTAATTATTAAAAAGAAAATTGGTCAAATTTTTTTAGAATTTAATTCAAATAATTTATTCTCAAGTAGAAAACTTCCAATTAAAACAAAAGACTATATAAACAAGTAAGGAAGGGCTAAGTTCGGATATAACCGAACATTTTATACTCTCGCAAAGTCAAATAGTATACTCGTTTGAGATTTCTTTGTGGATTGACTTATATTTTCGGTAGAAGGTCAACTATAGCCACTGGGGTACACATATTTAGTACTTAGGGGCTTAAACAATTTTTGTTCGATTTAGACAATTTTTGGCCACAAGGTGGCATACTTTAATCGCATTATTCACGCAAAGTTTTATCCCGATACAGTCATTGTTGCCTGATTTGCATAGTGGAAAGTGAAAGAATCAGATGGAATTTAAAATGGTGTTATATGGGCAATAGGCGTGGTTGTAGTCCGTTTTCGCCCACGTTTCGCACTATGACATAGAAACATGAAAATAACGTTATGCACCGAATTTGGTTGAAATCGGTTAAGCAGATCTCAAGATATGGGTTTTCACCTAAAAGTGGGCTGTGTCTAATTTTGAACGCGGTTCCTATAAAGTCATCTCATACCATCCTAGAGATAAAATTTAATGTCTCTTGCGTGTTTAGTGCTTGATTTATCGCGCTTTTAGTAGTTTTTAACAGTACCGTTATATGGGGAGTGGGCGGAGTTGCCACCCGATTTCAACTATTTTCACACCGTCAATAGAAGTGCTAAAGGCATTTCCTTCTAGTGAATTTCGTTATTATAGCATTAGCGGTTTAGGAGATATGCACATTAAACCTATTAGACGCGGGAACACGCCCACTTTTTTAAAAAAAGTTTTAACTGCAGATGCCCCTCCCTAATGTGATCCTGTGTACCAAATAACAGTCTTGTATCTTATTGCGGAGCTTAGTTATGGAAATTTATTTGTTTTTGATTAATGGCGTTTTGTGGGCGTGGCAGTGGTCCGATTACGCCCATCTGCAACACCAACCGTCTCACGGTACCAAGAAACATGTCTACCAAGTTTCATAAAGATATCTCAATTTTTACTCAAGTTAGAACTTGCACGGACGGACGGACGGACAGACACTCACCTGGATCTCAACTCGTCTCTTCATCCTGATCATTTATATATATATAACCCTATATCTAACTCGATTAGTTTTAGGTGATACAAACAACCGTTAGGTGAAAAGGTAGTGAGGCCCCAAACAAAGTTTTCACAGAGGGTGATGAAAGATGGGTAATAAGAAAAAGTAAAAAAAAACCCAACTTACCAACTAATCTCTTTCCTCATTTGTAATCTGCGACTATTCTACCTGCGTAACATTTCCCAAATATCCACATTTATCCATTGTCGATTCAATAAACCAACATCACCATATTTCATGCAACCCCACACCTTAATTCCACCATCACCATGGGTGACGGTTTCGTCGAATAATGAATTTTGATTGAAAATCTTCGATTACACCCGAACATTCCACCTTGTCCGGTGTATATCACCGGTTATGAATTGGCACCTGGGGATGGTTTTTCGTTGTGATCACCGTTGATACACTGGCAGCGAACGTGTTTATTTTAAGTTTTGTCAACATCTGAAAGTACCATATTTCCCCCCATAAAACACTCGGTTACACCCGAACGTAGCTCTTCCATACTTATTATGGAGTATATCAAATGCCGACAAAATACTCAAACTTTAAAATTCTGACAATCAAAGTACCGACAAATCAAAATACAGACAGAAAAAATGTAAAAAAAAACGGGGTGTTCAGAGTTCTTCCGCGTTGAATAACTTCCTGCAATGGTAACCTTCGGCCGCCGTTCAAAAAAATAACCTTGGTCGGTCCAACACCGGTGTGTACTCAGTTTTTTTCGCGTAAAACTTCCTTTTGTCTAAGCCTTGTCGGTCTAACAAACAGATGTACTCAGTTTTTTCCGCGTAGAATTAATTTTTTGCATTGGCGGCCTTTGGCCTGCATTGTTTATGTTAATTATGGCTTGACTTCAACTTTTACTTTGATTTTGCGAATATTTTCCACAAATAGGTATATAGCATAATGCCGACTATCAAAATCTCGAATCATAAAATTTCGACACATCAAAATACCTACAAATCTAAACATCGACGAGTTAACATACCGACAAATCAAAGCATCGAAAAATTAAAATGCCGACAATTCAAAATACAGACAGAAAAAAAATTTTAAATAACGGGGTGTTCAGAGTTTTTTCGCGTCGAACTACTTTCTACAAAAAAATAAAATTATTGATCAGTTACAATCCATTTTCGATAAATAGACATACTATTCTTAGGAAATGATTCTCTCCGGTGGTTGTATTCCGCTTTTGCTATTGTAACATAGGAATATTAGAACAATGTTACCTACCGAATTCGGTTAAAATCGGTTAAGCAAGTCCCTGTGATATGCGATTTCTCTTAAAAGTGGGCGTGGGCCCATCATATTCCAAAAAGTAAGGACGATTTCGTAGATGCGAGTTTCATCAAGATATCTTATTTTTACTCAAGTTATCGCTGGTACAGTCCGACGGACGCACAGACAGTCACTCGAAATTCAACACGTCCCATCGTCCTGATCATTTATATATATACAATATATATATCTAACTCAATTAGTATTAGATGATACAAACAGCCGTTATATATAATATACATATATACATATGTATATAAATGACCAGCATGACAAGCTGAGTCCATTAGCCAAGTCCGCCTGTCTGTTTGTCTGTATATATGCGAACTAGTCCTTCAATTTTTGAGACATCTGTTTGAAATTTTGTACACGTCCTTTCCTTACCAAGAGGCTTTTCACTTGTCGAAACCACCGATATTGGATAAACATAGCACATAGGTCCCATACAAGATGAACAATCGGAATCGAGTTCATGTATGGAAAACGTATTTATTTGGCAATATGTCTTTACAAAATTTGACATTCATTATTACAACAACGATACAGTCTTCGAAGAAATTGTTCAGTTCGGATTACTATAGCATATACATATGTACATAGATAAAAAACGTTGGATCAATATCATGTTATTGTAAGAAATATTTTGTAGTTGTGAAAGGTATAATAATAAAGGTAAATAATAAAGGGTGTAATCGAAGTTAACGTTTTTTCTTATTTTATTGATTAGTTAGACCAAAAGTTTAAATTTGAATCTCGTAAAAATTGTATACTGCATCTTTAAAAGGTGAGCTATTTGATACTGTTTGACGCAACATGACTTCTGATCAATGAAAGTTTAACTTGGCAGAAAAAAATCCAGAACATTCTAAAGGTTCATTCCACTATTATTCATTGCAATATACATAATATAATATATTTTTAACAGTATACGCTGAGAACATTTTTTTTAATTTTGAGCAATATCGATTTTGTAGGCTAACTTCTAAAAACAGACAGAATACTTTTTTATTTATGACTAAGGCTCTTGAAAAAATTGGTTTTGTCCAATACCGAGTATAATACGAGTACAGTGCAATAATAACGTACTTTCTCAGATGACTTAATTATAAACATTTATATGTATTTGATTAATTAGAACAAATAATTTATTAAGCTTATCCCATATGTTTCGTCGAAAAACGAATCGTGAATTTGTTTGATCTCAGCCACTGATTCAAGAACTTTATCACAGGATGTTTAATGAATTTGAAAAAAGTCAGATCTACGCGGCATAACTTGGAAAACAAACAAACAAAAAATAATAATTTCGAGACGAAATACAATCACCTCCCATATATGGATGTTTTTTTCACACACAAGGCAAGGTGCTAATATCTGCTCCTAATGAAGCAGGTAATTATGCAGTACTTGAGGGGGTATTATGCCTACCTTGCAATTATTTTTCGCCTTACAGCGCCATTAGAACAACACGAAATTAAGCAGGATACAGAAAAATGCCTCAAGGGAAGTCATGAGCACTTTGCATTTATTCGCCGTTTTTTTTTTATTTTTTGTTTCTGTTTTCCACTTGAGTTTTTTCGTTGTAGCTTTTTGAATAGGAAACACAATCACAAAATATCTATTTATATGTTGCTTTTACCACACTTTCTTATGAGTAGGTTAGTAAACGTGTATAGCGGTACTAATGCCTTTCTTTAGCACTTCTCATCAATGTTCACTGTTAGCCGAATGAAAACATAAATATATTGTACGTATATTTACCTAAATTATATAGAACATTAGTAATTACATATTCAGCACATATAAATATACACATACTTATATTTATTGCAAAATTCTACACTAAGCTCCACCGTTCGGCGTTCTACATATTCTTTCTGATTTTTTTATTTGTTCCTATAATTTTGATTTGAATTCCGCTCACATGTGGTTACATTCTTTTGAACGTAACTGTATTTACCCAGCACTTTTCCATTAACTAACTTAATAGTTTTTTTTTTTTCGAAATATAAAAGACTATGCTATCAAAAAATTTTCGAATGCTTAACTTAGTATATGAAATGTTTTTTTTATATTTGTTAGTATTTTTATCCACTTGGAGGTACATATATGTACACATACACTTGTACTAAAACACTTTTAATAAACATATAAGTATTATATACAAGTGTATCTGTTTGCATGAGTTTCACTTAATTTGATTTTCTTCTGCTGGTTAAAATTAATATATCTTATTCCACATTTATTGTTGTCTTATTTACGCCATACGACATTTCACTTTTTAATTTTTTCAGCATTTGTCAGCGATAATTTTATGCGTATATGTAAGTACTCGTATGCTGGTATGTGTGTCCTCATGCATGCAGATACATCTATACCTACATATGGTACGTACAAAAATATTTATACACATATGTGCACCAATCTATGATATATGTATGGTATGTAGAACTGATCATCTGTTCTTTGAGCTTTTTAATTAACTTACTCAATGCCATGAACACAAGATTATATTGTACATATTTGATTATATTAAAATAAATTTATATGAAAATACCGTAGATTATACCGTATTATTTTTTTAAGAATTTCTCATTCATTTTCACTAAAATTTCTTGTCAAAAATCCTAAAAACTTTAGTGTAAATTTTATTATATCCTAGTTAAGTTCAAAACGAACTTCCATGATCTATTTACGATCAAACATGCGCCAAACACCCAGCGACAATTTCACAATCACACCACATTGACCATAAAACAAAAACAAAACCAATAAGTAGCGTTATTAATTGCCATAGCTTGTCACCAGCTCAGGCTTTTCTCATTTCACACGAATTTAAATAAACCCTCATTACAACAAACACTAACGGCCTCTTACTGCGGTGTACCATATTTCACATTTTCGTTTTGTTTTTACAATTTCCACTTATGTACCAAATGTCACAGCAGTGTAAAACCATGAGCGGACGCTAAAACCACGAGTCACAAAAAAATATAATTAATTTGTTTGTAGTCTTTTACATATACCCACTCGCACATCGGTTCGTTGACGCTTTTCCGTCTCGTTTTTGATTTTTTGAGCTTTTTTTAATTTTCGAACAAAACGTTTCGTCCAAATTCGCTTTTCAGACAGTTCTCAAACGAACTGTCGCTGCCGGAGGTTGGAAACCAACTGGTGACAAACACAAATTCGAAGATCCTTAACCGCCGGTATTTAGCTACAAATGTTTGTAGATGCTCTTTCATTGTTGGAGCACAGCGCAACCGCAATAGGGGTTGCATGGGGAGATACAAATTACGCGTTAGTGTGAGAAGTTTTCGAACAATCAGCTTTCTTTCGAATAAAGGATTTCTGTTTATGAATCAAAATATGTATCGACACGTTTGTTATAATTATAATTTTTACTTCAAAACTCTTTACCTCTAAAAGTGCCATCCTCAAAGCCGAAGAAATACACTTTGGTTTTTAATTTCACACAATTTTAAGCTCAAGAATATAAGAAATTCCACCCTTTTCTTTGGATTTCAGAGAAATAAAATAATAAAAGAAATTAAGTCTTAGAAAATAAAGCATGATATGAAAAGTAATGAAATTATTTCATAATAAATTTTTCAAAAAGGATTTGGTGCTTTTATGGGTACTCACTGTACTCGTTATACTCTTTTGATTTGATAATTTCATAAAAATGGTAATGCCTTTCCAATGCTAATTAAATTTGATATCCCTATCTTCCCTCTTCTTATTTTGAGGGACGACCTGTACTAAAGAAAAACATGTCTCACAATTTATAAATGCTTTAATCGCACTATTTATACAGTTGGCTGAACCACTCGCTCTAAACAAGTATATAATGAACCCCCTAAACATTTTTTACTGTCTCTGTTCTGTGGTGACATTTGCTTTTCACCATGACGTCACTGCTATGTCGCAAGAACTCATTCGTGTTGCGTTTGAGTAGGTTTTCCCGGTAAACAACAATTAAATTGAGCCAAATTCGAAATCTGTTGACTCTTTTTCTCGCTCTCTCACTCAATTACTTAAATACCAATCAGCTGTTTTGAAATTTCATACATGCTTCCAAAAGTTCTCTCGTAATTGAATTCATTACGAATACTACAAGTGTTTAGACTCATACTAGGCGTGCTTATAATCGAGAAACGTTAGTACGTCTCCGACGAAAAACGTGGACCAAATCAGCTGATACGACCTATCTTATGGGAGCTCAATGTAAATTAACAAATTTCGTTGTTGATTTACGTGAGTACCTGCTGGCGACGGCCTTACCTCACGGTGTTCCAAAACACAACGTATCAATACAATGCGTTGATAAGCGCCCCAAGCAATACGAGCTATTTGCAAGTATTTATTTGGATACCAGTGGCAGTGTGTCTGGGTCCACACTACCATCTTGGTGTGATTCGAGGCCGACCTAAAACCTCTTCCGTTTTCGGGTATGGAACCCAGTTGCTTTATGCAACTTTATTTTTGAACTGAAAAAACAGGTAGGCTGAATTTTCAGTTCATCCTGCATTTAGGTTTCAGCCACAGCCACAACGAATCTCCCCAAAGGGGCCATAACCCAGTGAGCAGATTGGACCGAAAGCCAAGGGCTTTCTGCTCCCCGTGGTACCAGAAAGTCTCCGGTAAGACTGTGTAGCCGAAACTACTGCCAGTTGAGCAACCCATTACTCAATGACTGGTGACATTTGTCGCTTGAACTTCATATGTCTTTTTATTTGATTTTTCATTTAAAGTCTATAATATAAGTTCAAGCTGAGTATTATAGCACTATTTCTGACATACTATGCTGATATTACTGAGCAAGGTACATAATAATAGTCATAGTGCATTTGGCTTTTAGTCGCCTTTTACGACAGGCATGCCTTACCGCGGGTAAATTCTTACCCCTACCCGAAAGGGGAATGTAAATAAACAGTCACCTCCGGCTCTAGCGTCCGCTTCTACAGATGGTACAGTAGCATATCCCCGAAACTTGGATTTTTCCCGTAGAAACGAGACAGCTGAATGCTTTCTTGCAACGCAAGGTTATTTCGATATTTCGATATTTTTTAGTAATTAAGAAATAAACTTGAATATATTTGAAATATTCTTAAAATAACTCAAAATCACAGTCGAAAACATTTAATTATAAATAGGTCAACTATTTTTATACTCTCGCAGAGTATAATAGTTTTGTTCACCTAACGGTTGTTTGTATCACCTAAAACTAATCGTGTTAGATATAGGGTTATATATATACTTGTATAAATGTTCAGGATGAAGAGACGAGTTGAAATCCGGGTAACTGTCTGTCCGTCCGTCCGTCTGTCCGTCCGTCCGTCCGTCCGTGCAAGCTCTAACTTGAGTAAAAATTGAGATATCTTTACGAAACTTGGTAGACATGTTTCTTGGTACCGTGAGACGGTTGGTATTGCAGATGGGTGTAATCGGACCATTGCCACGCCACAAAACGCCATTGATCAAAATAAATAAATTGCCATAACTAAGCTCCACAATAAGATAAAATACTGTTATTTGGTATACAGGATCACATCAGAGAGGGGCATCTGCAGTTTAAATTTTTTAAATTGTATCTCTGGGATGGTATGAGACCCTAGTGCGAATATATCGGTCAATGCGTAAGATATATAATTGAAATTCATATAATAAAATAAATTCATTTAGTATAAATTAATAAAGCAGTTTCATATGCAACGATAGCAGAGTGAGTTTGTAAAGCGTTGTAAAATGAACTTTATTTGTGACGCACGATTTTCTCTGTCACTGCACATTGACTTCCGGTTTAATAAGTATCAATACATGATGCATTGTCAAAAAAATCCGGATGCATTACAGAACATTATACTTTGTCCTTATACATTGCGTATACGAAGTCAGCTTTAGTTTAAGATTTACAATTACAAAGAATTTACCGAAATTGTTGATTATTTTCTTCAACTTACCTACTCGAGTACCCTACAATATATTGTGAACTTTTCCCCATAGAAGAGCGATTTTTAAGACTTTCTTTTTGAAAATATAGTAAGGTATGTTCTTTGAGTAAGAAGCAGTGAGATCTAATTATTAGATTGAAGGAATTGGCGCGATTATGATTACTGCTTTGTAAACATTTTTTTCCTGTATCTTTCTCAGCTGCTGGCACTTTTAACACTTGAAGAGATTTATGTCACCTTCAACACAGAATTCTTGCGTTATACAAGAATAGTGGAGTAAATTAGAGTAAAACTCACACAATTCACAACTATTAAAACTTAAATTTAACAAACTAACTCTTTTAGTATTCCCAGCAAATTATAAAATATTTCCACTGCACATTCTTCGATTTTGCACTCTTTATTGGGTTAGAATATATTTCTTATGTATTATTATATTCTCAGAGTATAATAGTTTTGTTCACCTAACGGTTGTTTGTATCACCTGAAACTAATCGAGTTAGATATAGGGTTATAGGTACCTGCTCTGTGCCTCTAGTTGACTTTTTACCGAAAATAACCGTCAATGTGTAAGAATATAATTGAAGTTTATATAATAAAATAAATAAATGAAACTCTTGATAATATAATAGTATGTTTTTTGTCAAAAATGAGTGCAATCGGATCAATACTTCCTTTAGTATAAAATTTTGCCAACCTGAAGTCATTTCCCGGGCTTTGATCCTTGCAAGTTGCGAGAGTATAAAATGTTCGTTTACACCCGAACTTAGATCTTCCTTACTTGTTTATGTTTATTTTCGTGCAGGTATCATACCCCTCAAGTACTTCTATACAAAAATTGTTTTGCTCCTGTTTTTGGTATGTTGGTATTGGCCAGCTTATTACAATCGTAATAGTGCTTTAAAAGTGCGCTATCTCAAGTCTTAGTATTGGCAAAGGCGGACTATTCTAGCCCTCAGATATCTAAGATGTCGACACCAGGGCCTACGGCTGACTTTTTACCGAAAAGAAAGGTGTAGAATATATAATATAATATAATTAAAATTCCGATAAATCTTTTCCTGTTAATAGTATGTCTATGGGTAAAAAATAGGTTGAGTAGGATCAATACTTCCCTTAGTCCCATATACCTAACAAAAATATTTGCGAACGTCCGGCTGACTTTATGCTGCATATATCGCCCAATATGTCAGATACATAAATAAAATCGAGTTTTCGTGTTTTTCTAGTAATATTGCGTCTTTGAGTCTAAAATAAATAAACTAAATATTAGGATTTTCAAACACCCATTAGACTTCACTCCTACTTTTATAAAAATTAATAAAATCTAGTCAATACATCCCTTAAACCCATATATAACATAAAATATTCAAACTGCCGGTTGACAGTATAAAGCATATATCTTTCAATATGTAAGATATAAGCAAAATATTGAACATATAATATTGGATATGATTAAGTTTATATCGAAAATGTGTGAATTAGTTTACGAATTACTCCAACTTCCATTTGTATGTATTATATGTAATAGTAGTAATAAATTTCGTTATTCTCACAAACCTTATGCTAAATCTGCCAGTTTCAACCAAATTTGGTATAGGTATAACATAATCCTGGCGATACATGTCACATTGTGAAAATCGGCGCAATCGGGCTGACATCGCGCCTGCTTTCCATATAGCACAATTATAAATTCAATATGATTCTTTCACTTTCCAGTACACAAATCATCTTCGGCTAAAATTTTGCACATATGGTGCCTTTGAGGTATGCCATCTGGATCCCAGTGGGTATTACCTAATAAATATTGGCCTAAATGGGAGCTATTTTAATAAAATTGAGCACAAGCATCGGGCGAAAACTTGCCCTAGCCACAATACGACTTATATTCAAGATTTTGAAACATCAGATTGACTTTACTCCATTTATATGGTAATATTTATATATTTATAAAATTGATTGAAAAAATATTCTTAAGTTTGCCTGAGCAATGTCAAAAGTTAATGCAATCAGACCTTCCATTTTTCTCCCAATGATTTTAGTATAATTTTCACTGACGGGAAGTAAAATATAGTAATAAAACTAAGCCTCCCTTCGTACCCTTACCTTCAAAATAAGTCAATATAACACCAGATTTGATTGAAATCCATTCACGATTTCGTCAGACAATGAAGTTAAATCTTTTCCTGCATGTTTTTATATAAGGTTTTGCCAACATCTAAAGGTATTTAGCCAGCTTTGATTCGGGTACACCCGAACTTAGCCTTTTCTTACTTGTTATATGTGAATTTGTGTTCTAACTACAATAATTGACGGGAAAAAGTTTATAACGAACCTCTCTCATATATTATATTAAGATAACGGATTATCGTAAGCCTTTTCATGTTTTA